CTGCAGTCTTCTTTCTTCTTTTCTGCAAATCATTTATGCAACATTTGCCCCACAAACAGTTGTAGTGAAAGTGAGCAAATGCTGATTTGCCATTCATGACATAAGACAGCATGAGCAAAGAGGAGAAGATTTAAGAATGTATGACAAGGCATTTAGAAACTGGGATCAACCCCAAATACAACTTCTTTTTTTTTTCCACCGATTGTTTAATTGACAAAGGTCAACCAAAAAAATTCTTAACCTGCATTAACTTTAAATCCCACAAGTCATTGTGGTCATCTTCCACTGCCTTTAATAGCACTGAAACTGAGGAGACAAGCATGTATCTTGACAAAGAGGCCACATTGTATTGCATTATACAAAACAACTGCCAGCATATGCTTCCACGATAAATGGATTGAGAAATCCTAGCGTGTGAAATAATCTGGCATATTTTCAAAACATGCTTTACATGAATGGAACTGAAGCACACAGAAGCTGCAGCTTTGAGCTGAATCATGCACAAGGCTGCTTAGACAAACCTGCAAAGCATGAATCAAAAGTGTCTGAGAGCCAGAGAGGGTGTGAGGAAAATCACCAACTAATTGCTTGCTCACAGACGCCAAGCGCATGTTCTGCACTCTTAAAGATGGCGTTCACTATTTTTCTGACCTTGATGAATTATCTGTTTTTTATTGACAGCACTTATTGATACTCCCTAAAAGCAGAGGCTAATGGAGTTGTATTGAGATGATTAAATGAGTAGCCAGTGCCTGGATTAGCCTGCTCTCATCTCACAGGCACAGCTTGCATTATCATACAAAGCAGGCGCATGCGTGTGTCGAGTTTCAAATTGCTGCGACTGACATCTCCTGGGGAACAGAGGAGCGATGACTACATCCGACCTACATTCACCCCACCTCGGCATGCTTGCTTTCAACTAATTACGCACACAAACATGCATACTCAGACAGACTACAGGTCAGGATAAAATTGCAAAGAGACCGCTAATACAGTCTGCACTCAGAGCATAATCGTTTTTTGGAGGTATTTTTGTGCTATGCAACTTTAACATCTTTTCAGCGAATTACATTGTTAAAACATCCACAAGTGCTAAAATTTTCACTGACTTCCTGATGAATTTTAGAGGGATTTTTGTCACAGTTAAACAAAATAATAAACTTTTCAATTTGGATATAAAAATGCTTCAGACACAAAAAAATTACGATTAAAAAACAAAAACAAATATAAAAAAATGCCTAAAGGTACTGGAGCTCATTCAAAACTATCAAGAACAGAAGCTGTTTCAGAGTGAATTTAAGTTAAAGTAACACTAAATAGTATTTTAAACTTCAAGATAAAACTTTAACATTGATCTCTGATTGTTGAGTTAGAAACGTCATCAGTTTTATATTCAACACCACTCCGCAGCTCTCTGCTGACCAAAAACTGCACTGGATAGTTTTGTGGAGCAGGTAGGTGTCGTATGGGGCAGCTCTTTACCTGCTTTATGGCCGTTAACTATAATGCTAGTGGTTAGCATGATAATTTCACTGAAAGTCAATAAAAAGCACAAGAAAAAAAAAAGATGTTTACTTTTTATGTTGGCATCATAATCAAGCCTGGAAGTAAAAGTGAGTGTAAAGTCTTAGCCTTTCTAGCTACTCTGCTTATTTGTTTCTCCAACAGTGTGGATCTTTTTACTTAGCGGTTTATTTTAGTATTAGCCGACTCATGTTAGTCCTCGCTCTCGTTAGCGCTAGCTACAGCAGGCTGCAGCAGGGTTTATGTTTATGACAGTTGTAATTCCACTTTCAACCAGTAGTGGGCAGGCGCAGGAAACTGCTTTGTGTTACTTTAAATTTATAAGTAAGTAAAGTTTAATTATATAGCACTTGTGCTATATAAAGTGCTTCACAAAAAACACAAAACAAATCATGAAATCATGAAGTCAAACATCCCACGCAAAAGGATTTCATTTACTCTACAAATTCACATACATTTAATTTTATTTCTCAGAATTAAACTATTGAAAGGGAAAACACGCCATTAACAAGAACTGTGTGGGGAAAATAATTGTGACGCAGGCTACTGCCTATGAGCACATCTCCAAACCGCTTCTTTTTTTTTCTTTTTTGAGTTTCCTGAGCTGTAGAGCATGCTGGTTAGAGTGATGTGGTTTTTCACACTTTTAATGTGAGGGTATTTCTACAGTCGCAGCCCACATGTAGGGTAGGATCTGATCATCCTGCAAGCTCATTACTAAACTAGAAAGCTGTTGAAGAGCGTCAATCTCCGCCAACACGACCAATGTCATTACCTCCTACTAAAAATGTCATTTCGATTACGACAATCTATATTACATCTGACAGTGAAAAGAAAACCTAGTCTACTTCCTTGATCTGTGGATAAAAATCTAATGTAGAGTCCCTAAAAAATTACTAAAACTTTAGGAGTCCTTAAACAGATTGTTATGCATAATATTCATTAAATAGCATCAATGTTGTGCAATGTTTGAACGTGTTGCAACAGTGAGGTCTAATAAGAATTTAAGAAAAATAATGATGTATTATTTCAAAGAAAACCCAAAAGTAATCGCTGGAAGGCTTTGTCGAGTCATTTGTAACTTTAGATCTGCGTCTCCTCCTCACGCGCCTCTACTGCCCGGTTTTACTCTGGTGGTTTTTTCCCTCTAATAGTGAAACAAGTTTGTTTTTACCTTTAGCAGTAACTTTTGTTCTGCACATTTTATAAAATCTTGTGCTTCACCAAGCCAAGCAGAGGCCAACTTGCACTGCTCATTGGTTTGCCGGTGCATGACCCAGACACAAGAAAAGACACATTCATCTGAAAGCTCTTTACATGCTATGCATTTCAAAAACATTCACATTTAGATGTAAATGTAAATGCAGATAGTTCAGTTCAAGCCAGATCCAAGTAAGATGACAAAATGTGTCCAATGTTCACTTTCCATTCAATCGTCTGTTCTAGGTTTGTGTACAGGGCAGCGGGTAATGGTGCCAGCCTCATCCGGCTGGAGGCCGAGGCCATCGCCTCACTCACGCATCAGATACTCGGACTGGTTAACACTACTTGGTGCACCACACACAAACTTATTGAAATAAACCACAGAACATAACCTAAACACAGAATATGGCTGACCAAAATGTTCAAAAATCTACAGTCACATTTTTCTGTGTGCAATTATAGTGCACATCATAAATGGCTGCTTGGAATGGTGTAAAAACCAAATCAGTTGGCAGAGGATTTGTTGTTAAATAAGCCATTCCTGAGCTGGTAGCGTGACTCCTTTGTGAGAATGTCTCAGATTCTCCAAACTGAGACCTCTCTGAACATTAGCTGCTTTAGGGTAAGACCCAAACTACTCACAAGTACTCAACCCCATTTGAACAGGAAAAACTATCTCTTTAAGCTTTTTATTTTGTGTTATCCAATAACTAAAGCTTTAAATGTTTTAGAGGCTACACATGAACACAATTCTCCACAACAAAAGAGCAGAAACACACCCCAGCAGCATTAGTTAGGCTCTGCTGAATTAATACAGTTTCTTCCTTTATTCTGAATCTACAGAGAAACAGTAACTCAGAGTGTAGACTAAAGTGTGTTTCACACTGAAGCTGCCCACTCTAAAATGTGTCTAAACCGTGTGCATTAATTCATATTATAGGTAATCTGCCAGTATTAAAGTATATCTACTCTGATTAAAGGGCAATAAGGCCAGTACTTATTTGAGTGTTGAAATCATCTTTTCTTCTTTATCAAACACTGGTTACAACAAAAAATCACATCTGTAAAATTACCATCTACTCTATCAGGTTTCATCAAACGTGACACCAGCTGAATGTAATGTTCCAAACCTGGGCAATATAGAAAATTATTACATGCTGAATTTACCAGTTTGCTGCACACAAACAAAGGTGGTGCACAAAATGCAGAGCTGGGATCGGTGTGTGGTGAAAAGGCCTGTAGCTCAAATCAAGACGGCACATATGCTGCAGTGTTACTGACAACTAAATAAGTAATGATGAAGGTAAAAGAGGAAACAACAGCCGCAAAATGAAACAATTAATTTCCCTACAAAAGGCCTTTCCACAAAAGCTAAAATCAATCCATTTATAATAACACATGATTTCTCATCTCACCCTCACCTACACACACACACACACACACACACACACACACACACACACACACCTCCATGCAGCCTGTGCACACACCAGATCTTGTCGCCCAAGGAAATGGGCTTCATACATCTTGTCTGACTGCAATAAAGGAGTGCCTAAGATTCTATTTCCAATAAACGTCGACTGATTGGAAAACTCATTCTAATATCAATTTCCATCTGGGCCCTTTAAAAGGCAATCAGCATAGCTTCATCTCGGTTTATCATGGGCTCCTTGAGATGATGACACAGCACTGGCTTTCTCCTTCTGCATAATGGCCTTCTCCTATCAAGGCATCTGCAATGAATAATACCACCCATGAATGGGCTATTTAGTCTGTGTTCACACAGATAGGGGCCACTTGTCTGAATATTAATCCCGGGTTTTACACTTCATATGGTTCTCTCAGGGCTACAGCATTTTTCATTCAGAGCAGCGAGGCACTTAGTGTGATTTGGCGCACTCGTGGTCTCTCTCTTAGATTTTTAGGATGTGACAATGGTGATAACCAGAGGAATTGCACTTTGTTTAGGCTGCCCGGGCACCGACAAAACAATGATTTCAGTCGGCCAATATTAATCTAAAATCCCTACACAAAGCTCAAGTACAAAGGCAAACTACCAACATTTTGGAGAAGCCAAACAAAAGATGGCAAGTGAACAACAAATGGTGCCAACAAGAATTAATTCCGCTCATTCATCTGAGCTTTAGACGTTCACCAAATTCAAAAACGTTCATCACATACGCATAAGATCTGTTTGCAAATAAACAGCTTGATCTCTGCAGCCAATACAGAAGCAAGCTTTTTCATCTGCACAAGATTAAGGGTATATTTACCTTCCAGCCGCTGCCCGCCTCCCTGTAGTACGGAAAGTTATCACAGATCCATTGGTAGATCTCGCTCAGTGTCATCTTCTTCTTTGGCGAGCTGTTGATGGCGAACGTGATGAGGCTGGCGTAGCTGTACGGAGGCTTGCCATCCTTGTGCTGCTGCACCTCCTCTTGATCCAACGTGGTGTTGTGATCCAGAAGGGTACTCTTCTTGCCCATGCCTGGCCCTTGGGCATTTTGGGCATCAGTCTTGCGAATGGCTGCCTGCATGGTCAGCTGAGGAAGCCAATCCATGGAGGTCAGACTGCTCTCCAGCTCCGACGTCATGGTGACGGCAGGCTGGGCAGAAGATAATGGAGTAAAAGTTGGAGGTGGTGGTTACAGTTGGTGTGAGGTGACTTGACAAAAAGTGCCCCAGTTGTGGGAACAGACTAAGCAAGGTGGGGATGACTCCTTCAGCTCAGGACATCAGCATGGCCTCTCCGGCATGTTGATTCTAGAGAAACAATAGAAAGATTCTTTCATTATTAATGATTTTTTTTAAATGTGCAAATTAACACCGGAAAGAAAAATGTAAATCTGATAGACTGAAGAGAAGAGAAAGAAACCAACTTAAAGAAAGGCGTTTGAGAGTTTCCACAACACTAACTGAGTGTCTCTGTAAACTAAGTATTCTCATATTCTCTGTGCCAGAGATCACAAGCTCACCACTTTCTCCACCACTTGCTGCTCTCAAAGCTGACTCATAGCCGGGACTCCATCTGCACAGAGAGTAAATGCCAGGCAATTGTTTTCACAACTGCCAGCCAAATGGGGGGATGGCTCCGGAGGAACTCCAAGTCTCCCGAGGCTAGTAAACCCCTTCCACTTTCTTCCCTGCTACTCGCCTGCTTTTTCGCCTCCTCGAAACGTGGCTTCTGTCGCAAACTAGCCAGCCAGAGTCATCTTGCAAACTGTCCTCTGTGATATGTGTGTCAGCTATGTTGTGTGGAGAGCAGCCAGAAACAACCTGTCTCGCTGTCCCTCTCGGCACACTGCCATTCCCCGTCTTAAAATAAATGAGCAGCATAGAAAGGCCAAAAGTAACAAACACAGGAGAATACAAGAATGTAAAGGGTAAAAGAAAAAATATTAAACAATACTGTGAGCTGCATGACATCAAGTCTGTCTGAGGGGTGGGGGAACAGCTGAAAGAACGAGGAATCCCCACTAAGTTGTGGGATTTTTACTCTTGACTAAGCATGCTCGCAGTAAGTGTGTGTGTGTGTGTGTGTGTGTGTGTGTGTGTGTGTGTGTGTGTGTGTGTGTGTGTGTGTGTGTGTGTGTGTGTGTGTGTGTGTGTGTGTGTGTGTGTGTGTGTGTGTGTGTGTGTTTGAGCATGTATAAACCTGGGTTTATGCCATCAAGCGGACAATGAAAATATTCATGATAGCATTCCATAGGTCGAATACGAAATGTTTCAAATACCTGAGTGACATGTGTAATTGTACCAAACGTTTAAGAGCAAACACAATATTATAAAGTATTTCAAATGCCATCCATCTGACTTCAACTGAAGCATACTTACATTCCCACATTGCTACTGCATGCAATGAGGAAAAACACCCAAAATGAAAACAAAAAGATGAATACATTTGAACTGAAACTGTTGAAAAAGGTGTGGTTGAAATCTCCAGATTGTCATGGGGAGAAATGTTTTGTAGACTAGCAACAACGTATGCCGATGACATAACATTTAGCTTTGGCAGGTACAGGTGAACACTCGTAGGAGACCACAAGAATGAAAAGCTAAGAGTTTGGGATTTAAAGACACTTGTTCTTAAAATGTGTAGGAAATGTTCTTTGTGCCACCAAATCTGTCCACCAGTAGCAGAGACACACTGGAGTCTTTTAATGTTTATTCTGGCGTTAGGTTAGGATGTTGTCTATTCAGTCATTTAATTTTTGGTGTACTCTTAGTCACACGTTCACGAGAATCAAAATGTGAAATTGTCCCGATACTTTTGTACATCCTTGACATTTTCTCTGCCGCTTTTTAAAACTTTATTTTAGTAATTTTAGACGTTAGAATATTCCATCAGCTGCTCCCTCATGTAAACAACTTGGTTCTCAGTATGTTAAGCATCATCACAGACTGTTAGTTAAGAATCAACAGAAATTATTAAAGTAGCAAGTAGCATTTTCAAATCAGCAAAAAAAAAAAAAAAATTATTTTGTTTTCACAAAATAAAATTAAAATGTGTCCCAATTCAGGTTTTTTTTTTAATGTTTGGGTTATTTATGCTTAGGGCTTTCATTCACAACCCCAGCCATACAGCATAGATCAAAACCACACCATCTGAATTACATAAGAAAATATCCAAATCATAATCCATGTCATTTATTCATCGTTTTTATTTTAATTCAATTTGTATTTGATGTTTATGCACTTCCACAGTTTTAATAAAATCGAATGTATAATAAAAAGGTCTGACAGAAAAACTGAAGTTTACAGTTGTAAAATAAGCAAGGATCTGTTCAAACCCTAATGTTTAATGTACCATAATGGCATTTAACACAACATTTTGTTCCACAGTGATACCTGATGTAGCGTTTGGTCAGGCTTCACAGAAACACGACGTGCTGCGGTCCTTTGGACAACAGCCTGTGAATTCTGAGGTTTGTGAGTTGCGGTTGTTTTATTTACGAGAGAACGAATGTGCCGCGTTTTAAAAAGGACAAAAACATTGCTGCAGCTCTAACATTATACATATTGTTTGTTAGCACTGTATTGGATGGAACACTGTTATGCAGGCATTAACAAAGCTCTGACTTTAATTCAAATAAACAAAAAAGTATTTAATGGAACACAAATCTGATTCTTGAGATTAGGTCCTCATTCCAAACAAAATCCCAACAGTAAGTAGTGGATGGGTGGGTGGGCATTGGGGACAAAATACCTCCCATAAAAATGCACATCTGTTCACAAGAACACATGAGATGGCCAGCACAAGACCTTCATCTTAGGCACTCAACTACTTTTATTAGGTGTGGTGGATTAGTGGATAGAGCATCTGCCTTTCACTGGTTCGATTCCCCGTGTCAGTAGAAATGTATTTTCTTCCTTTTGAGCTACACTTATTGCCAGTATTACGTTTTTAACCCTTTACTGGTAAACTATTAAAAACATCAGGACTAATCTATTTTTTTTTTTACTTTTTAGTTTATTTAGCCAGCTCAAACCCATGTGAATCCACGTGAAGCGAGCAGAGTAGATCTTTGGGACTGCTGCGTCCCATTCGGAGCAATGCAACTAAATGCTGCTTTGAAATAATCTAATTCAAAGATCTTTAGAGATGCAAAATATTTTGCAGAAAATAATCAATAAAATGAAAAACAATAAATAAATACATAGATATACATATAAAAGCTGTTTCAGCAAGCTACAGAAATGAAATGGAAAAAATGATTTGGCTTGATATTTTAAACGGTGTACAAACAAAACGTAATACCAGTAAGAAGTGTAGCTGAAAAAGGAGGAAATAAATTGCTGCTGGCATGGGAACTCAGAGGGGTGTCAGGGTTAGCTAAACGGAGTGAAAGTCAAATGCTTAATTCATTAGAACACCAACAATTATACATTGGCTAATTTGTCTAAACGTGTTGTATGAACGTTTTCTCGAAGGACTTCCATTTTATAGGGTACATGAAGTTTCTTTGATGTCAGATTTTTCCACTCATTTCAATCTTTGCCATCTTCGTAGGGCTGGGCAATATGGCCTAAAATCAATATCACGATATATTGAGTTGTTCACCTTGATAATGATAAATGGACGACAACTACAGGTATGCGCAGAAGCAAAAGTTGTCCACTAGATGGGGCTGTCGCATGTATTACGTTGAGTCACATTTTTGCGTGTCTCAAGGTGGTACAGCTTCTTAAGACATGACATGAACGTTGCCAACCTACACACATCTTTTAATTTTATTATCAAATTTATTGACAAGGGAAAAATGATCTCAATAAGAGTCAGAAATTTCAATAACGATACATTTTCGATTTATTGCCCCGCCTTACATCTTCGGTATTTATTTTTTAACTGCCCTTTGTTTATAAAATAATGTTATTGGAAAGCAGTAATTTAAATTTTTTTTAAATATTATAGTTTGGCAAACCTCTGAAGTCAATAGGAGATGCCACAGGAATTATTTTAAAAAAAAACACAAATTAGGCTAAATATTTTGGCAGCAGTTGGACAGAAGCAGTTTATGGTAGTCTTTCTCATTGATCTCTCCCAGCAGGGGTTAGCAAGTGGCCAGTAGCTAAATAGAGATCTACCATCAGTGTAGACAAGCAGAGCAGAAGATGAAAGCATTTCAGCTAAATTACACAGAATTCAGAGAGGGGAAGACACCAGATTTTACTGCAGGAGATCGCTAATGGCAGTGGTTATTGGTCTCAAATCTTCCTCTATATTCTCAGCTGACTTTCATGGGGGTTATTTGAAGAAAGCTATACTTATATTTATTTTTATTAATTATCAGACCTTACGGGTTGAAAGGTAAAACCGGAGTGAGAGTTGGGCAGTGATCTATTCATCTGAATCATTAGAATGTTATAACACAGTTTCAAGAAAGAAAAATACATATTTTAAATATTTGCATAAAAACTCAAGATTAAAGATGCTTCTTTTGGCCGGTGGCCTGCAGCTTCGAGACAAAAGTTGGCAAAACATTAAAACAGACTGGCTTGTTATAAACTGAACAATTAGAACGTGTAGAAATATGAAAAACAATTTAAATGTTTGTGTTGGAAATGTTTTGAAAAATGTGAGCAGATGTTCAGATAATGATCATTGTTGTGACAAGTTTACATCTGAAATCTGTAACAACTTGATGAAATATCAGTAATATCAATACAAGTTTAATTTTAAAGAGCAAGTCACTCCAAAGAAACATCTTTTTTTACTGATAAACTATATAAATGAGTGTCTGATTGTGCTGTAGACAAATGTAGTCAATTTGGCACTTTAGTGCATCTTAGTTAAAATTTAAATTTTCTGCCTAAAACTGTCAGTGATGCACCATCGTCAGGTAAAAACTCAGCACTGCATTTGAATTTAAATCTGCCATCGCTATTGGCTTAGAGGTACACTATGATGTTAGATGGTAGATTATGATGTCACAATGTCGCGAGTGTGTGTATTTGTTAGCGGCTCCACCCGCTCGGTCTGCTAGGTAACAGTATTTTTTGCATTTTTCAAACAGGAAGTGGGAATTGAGTAAGAATCTCGTAGGGGGCGACTTGCTCTTTAAATAAACTGAATATACAGTTTAATATATCAGACTATCTGCACTAAGGACAGGTGAGTTTCCACGTGCGAGTCTGTATTAAATATTGTTTAAAGAGCAAGTCAACCCCTACCAGATTCTAACTCCACTCCCACTTCCTGTTTGAAAAATACAACAAATGCTGTTGCCTGGCAGACCGAGAGGGCGGAGCTGCTAACAAATACA